TTTTTGCTAGCTATATAGTGCCGTCCTTGGTGTTAGCAGGTACCAGCTAGCATTCCTAGATCAATTTAGAGGACCCCCTCCCCAGAGTATCCTTTAAGAAAACTGAATATACTAACAGAATGTTGATAATAGCAAAGATTTTGCTAAATAGCCATTTTTTATTTTTAAGGGTCCCCCTGCTTAAAATGTAGGAATCTAAAAATACAGACAAGCCAAATGCGGATGCACTGCAGGCCCTGCATGTGTGATTTCCTCTTTGCATCTGGTAAGTGCATGCTATTAGCTACACTGTGTACAACTCGATGCAGCTTGACATATCCGGGGATTTATTAAAATGTAAATGATAAAGCAGAAAAGAATGTTCAGACAATTGCATTACTCCATTGACTGAATGTTCCAATACTGTATCTATTTTTGTCAAAGCAATGGTGGCTCCTGCTGTGGAATGCCGAATGGAATATTCCATTGCAGGGCATGGGGAGGAGTTGCATAAAGGAAACTGAAACCTAATCACTGAATTTTTAATTCTCCAAAAGCAACAGATTGCCAATACATTGTAAAAGAAATTATGATAATTTTGGCATGTAATTATTGGAAGGTTACCATTCACAACTAAGTATTCAGTGCCTATTATTGGATCTGCAACTTCATTCATGAAAACAATGATACATGTGCTTGTTTTTGCTCTCGGCCTTGGCGTGGTTTAGTTACAAACATTATGCCATGAGCATGAATATATGTGATACGGCTGGCAGTGAATATGCACAATCCAAGAGAGACACGTCCCTTATGGGAACTGTTATTACTTATTCCAGAGCAGAGAAGGCTGGGAGGTGGGTGTCTTTAAGGACTTGAAGGGATTGAGTTTAGAGAGAATGGAGACCAGCTGTTCTTTCTCTCCACAGGGAACAAGAGAAAATGGGATTAAACTACAGCGTGAGGGATTTGGGATCGAAATAAAACAGAATTTCCCAACTGCACAGGCTCTCAAACACTGAAATGTGTTTTGAAGTAAGTACGTGGACATTAGTTTTATTTTAATGCCTTTAAAAAAATGGAAAGGCACATTTTCACGATGTGATCTTACATGGATGAAGAACACTGGACTAGACGATTATGGTTCCTGGATTCTCTTGATCTATGAGTAAAATCTAAAAATGGGGCGGGGGATGCTAGCTAAGAGAAGTAACTTTTTTTTTTTCAGTAGTAGTTACTTTTCAAAGTCAACTTTTCTCATGGGGACGGGCTGGCCACGTTTACCTGTATGTGAAACGTTAAACTGAATGGGATGTCATGTAATAAGGTGGGTGGGGACGGAGAACGCGGGAGCGCAATGCAGTGTTATTTCTCCTCCCACTACCATCTCTGCCATTGAGCAGTTCAAGTTTAAAGGCAGAAGTGTCCTTCCTAGTTATGTGTGGAGTTTAACATACGGATATTGATTATTGATTTTTGAATCTATAAGAATCTGGTTAGGGCTGCTGGGAAACTGAACTCTCTCTTTACAGTGTTACATATACATACACATGTATGTATGTATATATGTAGATATATGAAATGTACATTTTTTCAAAAAAGAAGTTGCACTCTAACAAAAGCAATCTATAGTGCTCACATTTGATTAGCAGAGAGTTTTGAGTACGTGGAATTAAAAGTGGTCGAAATTCAATTATTCCTTTAAAAAATTATGACCACAGTGGATGTGGTTGTCTCCTGAAGATAATTATATTTTCCATTTCCTGGAGACAGCTTAGCGTAGCAAAAAGAACGCTGAGTTAAGAGTCAGAAACCCAGGGTCAGGTCTTATCTCAGTCATGAACTGGCCATTTGACCCGGACAACTCAAGTTGCTCTTCAGTATGCGTTTTTAAGGTGAAGAATAAAAAGTAAAATGAGGATACGTTAGATGATTTTCAAAGTTCTCTTTTTGGTTCTAATATGCTATCGATTATCACTACCAAAAGCTCTTCATCTCTGAGTTCAGTCTATGTCCCCACAGGATGGTAGTTTTTAACTTTTGCTGTATATTACAGTCACCCAGGGAGCTTTAAAAAAAAAAATCCCAAATCCCAGGCCATATCCTTCTTTTGAGGAAGGACCCAGGTTATCAGTATTTTTTTAAACCCACTCAGTGGTGCACAGCCAAGGTTGAGAACTTCCTGCTTTGGGCACAACATAGGGAGAGGAACTAAAATGATGGTCCATATTGTTTTACCATGAACTCAAGAACTGTGTCCACCTTGATCCCGCCTACACCTTCAGGACCTAACAAAGAGTCTGGCATCTATATAGTAGGTGCTCAGGAAATCATTAACATTTTTATTTTTTTAATTCTTTTTCAATTGAAGTGCAGTTACAATGTATCAGTTTCTGGTGTACAGCACAATGCCCCAGTCATGCATATACATACATATATTCATTTTCATATTCTTTTTCATTAAAAGTTATTATGAGATATTGAATACAGTTCCCTGTGCTATACTGAAGAAATTTGGTTTTTTAAAATCTACTTTTATATATGGTGGCTAACATTTGCAAATCTCCAACTCCTAAATGTATCCCTTCCCACTCTTTGCCCAGGTAACTATAAAATTGTTTACTATGTCTGCAAGTCTATTTCTGTTTTGTAGATGAGTTCATTGGTGGCCTCTTTTTTTCTTTTTTTATATTCCACATATGAGTGAAATCATATGGTATTTTTCTTTCTCTTTCTGGCTTACTTCACTTAGAATGATGATCTCTAGGTCCATCCATGTTGCTGCAAATGGCATTATTTTATTCTTTTTTATGGTTGAGTAGTATTCCATTATATAAATATACCACAAGTTCTTTATCCAGTCATCTGTCGATGGACATTTAGGTTGTTTCCATGTCTTGGCTATTGTATACAGTGCTGCTATGAACATCGGGGTGCATGTATCTTTTTGAATTAGAGTTCCCTCCAGATATATGCCCAGGAGTGGGATTGCTAGATCATGTGGTAACTCTATTTTTAGTTTTTTGAGGAATCTCCATACTGTTTTCCATAATGGCTGCACCAAACTATATTTCCACCAGCAGCGTAGGAGGGTTCCCTTTTCTCCACACCCTCTCCAGCATTTACCATTTATGGACTTTTGAATGATGGCCATTCTGACTGGTGTGAGGTGATACCTCATTGTAGTTTTGATTTGGATTTCTCTGATAATTAGCAATATTTTTTCATGTGTCTTTTGGCCATTTGTATGTCTTCACTGGAGAATTGCTTGTTTAGGTCTTCTGCCTGTTTTTGGATTGGGTTGTTTGCTTTTTTGTTATTAGTGAGCTTTGGTCAAGCCCTATAAAAACAGGGTTTTTTCAAATCTGGCATCTACTTTGATCATTTTCACTTTGATCTTACTCACTGAAAGAGCTCAATCCTCAACCTTCATTCACCAATGAAGATAAGAAAGGAAAATAAAATCATGGGCAATCCTATTGCAGTGACACTATTCAGTTATCCTTAGGCTGGATGTAAGGGAATCATCTGTCTCCATATCCTCAAGAGAAGAGGCTCTTGGAAATCTAAAGACATGCCTCCTACAAGACTCCACACATCTAGGTGAAAATAAATAAAACAAAATGCCTGAGTATCCAAATGTGTCATTCATTCATTCAGTAGGTATTTATGGAGCACTTACATTGGGCTAAACATGTCGATAAGCTATTGGAGACATTCTCAGTGAAGGTTTCATGCTACAATTAAACCTTAGTACCCTGGGCATGTTGTAATGAATTGATGTTCTTCCTATGCATATGGTGTGATTTTAGTTATATAGTATCATTGGGAGAATTGCAAAACGGTCACTAAAATAATCTTTTTTACTTTACTTTTTACAAACTCAAGATAAGCATGCCTGGGGGAAAATGACAAAACACAGTAGTTGTCTTTTAGACAGTATTGCCCGACAGAACTTTATCAATGATGGAACTGTTCTCTGTCAGTGTTACTCAACATGGTGGCCACTAGGCAATGTGGCTACTGAGCCCTTGAGATGTAGCCAGTGTACCTGGGAAATCAAACTTTTAATTTTTCTTAATATTAACTAATTTAAATTGAAGTCGTCACATATGGCGAGCGGATACTCGGGAGAACAAGGCAGCTCTAGAATTTCATATTCAAATGGAGGGGACTGTCATGTAAGTGATCGTAATCTGGGCGATAAACACAGAATAGGAGGTGAGCGCAGGATGCTATGAACGCACCCAGGTGCCGTTTTCTCCACCCACACGTGGTCACGGAGGGTTGGGGTGAAGGTGCCCAAAGGAAATGACTTCCAGGATGAGACCCGGGGCACAAGAGGTGGGGTCCAGAAGGGGTAATGGAGCACCAGGTAAAAGGTTTAGGTGTGTGAGAAAGCTCAGAAGATGAAGAGGACAGTAAGAAACGGCAAAGATGTAGAGCAGAAACCTACAAAAGCAGTGGGAAAGAGGTGCTTGATGAGCCCAGAGAGGAATGTGGGGGGCCAGGAACCAGGATACAAATGACTTTCAGTGTAATGATACTTACAGGGCAATGGGAAGCCAGTGAAACGTTTGAAATTGTGGGATGATACGATTAGGTCTGCGGCTTAGAGAAATTTCCCCAGCTGCTACTTGGCAGTCCGAAAGGGAGAAACTGGAGGCATGACGCAGCAGTCCAGGTGAGAAATGAGAGCTGTCTTACATAGTCGCATGAAAGATGGAAAGCAGCAAGACATAATTCAAAACAGAAAGAAGGAAACAATCAAAAAGATTTACCTGATTGGCCATGATAGGTGAAAAGAGAAAAGACAAGGCTCACACCTTGGATTCTGACTTGGGTAGATGCCGGTGCCGTTAATTGAAAAGCAACACAGGATCATTTAGAAACTGCCTCTAAATTTATATTTTCCCATCATATTAGATTGTTTGCATCTCACGGATCCTGAAACGAGCTCTGCTGCACACTAGTGAAAACATACAAATTATGAGAGCATGCTCTTCCAAAAAATCAACACAAGCTCACAGCTGATGCAACATTGTTTTTATTGGGGGTTCAGGGGACACATGACAAAGTCTCATAAAACGTCAACAAAGTCACATTTTGTGCTTGGCTACTCTTTAAAAAAAAACTGTTTATTTATGAACTCACTTAACGAGAACTGTGTGAGATGGCCAACGACCCTCATTTTGAAAACAGGACGACCTGAGCCACCAGGAGGTCTACGTCCGACAGCGCCAGATAGCTGAGTGGAAATTTACAACAGCCAGCTCTGCAGGTAACTCCTAAACATCCAGACGTCTGCCCTTTAGTAGACACAGCTGAACTGACTCCTTCAAGACAGAATTGCATTTTGAACCTCGGCGCTCTCCAGCCGCCCACTTTATTAATCATTACTAAATGCCAACTGGAGGCAAAGGGGCTGGTAAGGAAGAGTGAGGTTTCCTCAATTCTAGCTTCTTACGACTGAAGTATTCTTGACTTTGTTATACGGATAAATGAGGATTAAAATAGCAAATAACCACTGATATTTTCAAAAGCACAAGGACTCTCGAAACATTCATGTTTAAATGTACAGGTAGGAGCTATTACAAATATTATGCCACGCATACAGTTGGTTAAGGAAACACGTATCAGGAGTTCTGATTTGTTTAGGTGAACTAAGAGTTCCAAATAACTTAAGAAGTATCACTGAAGACATTGTACACATAACTTGGGCCATTAAGTGGTCTTTGCGGCTGGACCACTGACCATCTCTGAATCTAAAGATGTCAGTTCATAGCTAGTTACTTTTCACATTGAGGTAAGAAGTCAGAGGTACAAAGTTGAAGCAATCTACTAGGTACGAAGCTCCCTGACCACCCAGATGAGAACGTCTTCATTGATCAACGTCAAGCTCACACTTCACTGAGGTAGGGGTGGAGTAGTTCCAAGAGCCTGTGAGGGCGTGGCTCCTGGACCTGACTCTAACTCTATGGATTTACCACATCACATTTACAGAAAAGGACACTGTGATAGATGACCCTTAAGCTCTCTCCACCTGCTATTTTTATTCTCAAGCAGTTGAGATTTCATGCTGACCAAAGTGCACAGACTCGTCAAAGTCTGCCCCCCCGCCAAAAAAAGTCTAAAATGCTGATAAACTCTATTCCCCAATTTTTTCAGTTTCAATCATGAAAATACATTCCATCACTCTAGTGTAATTTAGCCAGAAAACTGAAAAATTTGAGAAGATAAATGGAATAGCAACTCGTTTACCACAGGCAAACATTAAGGAATATAGAAGAGGTAACACTGTGACATTGGTGGCAATATGGTGACTGGGTGCTCTGGTTCACGGGCTTTGCAATCCCAGTTCTGAATGTGAACTCTGGATGTGCCAGTGTGGCAAGTTACTTAATTTCACTGAGGCTCAGTTTTCTTATTGTAAAATGGGAATAATACAAACACCCACTTTGCAGGGTTGTTGTGAGGCTTAAGGGAGTTAGTACGTAAAATGCTTACAGTGAGAACACACTAAATATAGATTGTTCTAGGTTAACAGAAAAATCACAAGTTCTCGTAACATCACAAGTCACTCTCACTTGCTTTAACGGAAGAAATGCAACTGTAATTCTAGGCTGCACGTGGGGTGGGAGAGGGAACGCGTGTGTCCGAAGTCTTTACCATATACACACGTACACACCGGCACTGAAAGTCTGGGATGAAGTCAACAAGATACATGCATTCATAATTTCCTAAAATCACCATGTAGATTGCTTCTTCCCTGACTTTGTGCACAATATTGCACCCATCTAAAGGACTCTATTTTCTCCTTCCTTTCCATTTATCTACATCTTTACCAGCCATTAAGATTCACCTTTTATTTTCCTCCTTGGGAACTTCCCTCCCTGAACAGACCAGTTTGTCCAGGTGAAGGTGACGTCCTCTGAGCTCCTTGTTTAAATCTTTGGTTTCAGTTTGGTTTTGGTCTTAGCATCTAATGATTTGATCCGTTACTCATCTGTTCAAAAGTTTACGCACCTCTATCTAACAAGATTAAAACTCTTCCGAGGCAGTGACTGTGTCTCACAGAAGTTTGCTTGATACAAAGAATGCTTGATTGATTGGTGTCAGTGGGATAACATATTTCTATGCTGCATTCTGAGTTCCCACCCTTACTTTATCCTCCGGATTGCCTCCGACAACTTCATTATTTCAAAAGAACTTTATATTCCTTAGGTCATTCTTAAGATCAAATTGGGTGTGGCTAAAATCCAACCTACCTAGAGCACGAATTTTGCTCCTTAAAACATGAACATATTTGTGCAGTTTTCTATTTTAAAAACTCGTGCATTAATGAGCATATTCACACTAGAAAAAAAATTTTAAATGAAGGTCACACAGAATTTAAATACACACAGAGGAATACACACAAGGAAGGGAACGTCCTTGGCTCATGAGAAATCTAGATGGCATTATGAAGTGTTTCTGTTTCTTGAAAAGATTGCATCTTGTTCTGAGATCCTATTGGCTGAAACTGCACCGTGTGGGTGTGTCGCTTAGCAGGAGAGGAGCGCAGGAGAGGTGACCACTTTCTTTGTTTCAGCTTCACAGTTGACTTGAGCGTCCATCAGTGCAGCATTCTCTGCAGTCTGTGTCCTTTCACTGGGGAGACATTCCTGAGGAGGGGGGACTATAGGACCAGCTGAAAGGAACATCAACACAACTAAAAAAATAACAGAACATGTCACAGAGAGTTATCACATTGACTCTTTAATACAGAAATGGAATGATAGTCTGGGGGCCATGCTACTTCTAACTACAAGTGAAGTGCTGCGTCACCAGAAAAACGGAGCTCTTTCTCATGGTTCACCTTGTTCAAGAATCAGTCAAGCAGCAGCACTGCCTGAGTGTGTTCGAGAGCACCACGCAAATCACCCTGGGAGAGAAATGCTCTGTAAGAAAAACTTCAGGTTCATCCCACAGGCAACTTACTGAAGTAAGACGCATAGGAAAACAGCAAAAGAAGACTGGACATTAAAGACGCACTCAAATAAATCTAAAGACTAAATGCAAAATAAAAGAGGTGCGGATGCATAAGTGCTTAGCAATGCAGGAGTGAACGAAGTCACTAGCTTGGTTAGGAACCCATATCAATGCCTTGTATTTGTGTTTGTATTTCTAGTGCCCAGCTCAGAGCATGACACGCTGTGCTCACTGAAAGAATGAAAGAAAGAACAAGAAGGAGGGAGGGAAGAAGGGAGGAAGGAGGGAGGGAAGGAGGGAAGGGAGGAAGGGGAGAGACAGAGAAAGATGAAGGAGGGGTAAGGAAGAGAAAGAGAGAGAAGGTAGGTTTATGAAGTGTAGAAGAGATGGAGAGCAGAGTGTGCAGAGAGGAAAAGCTTGGATGTGAGCATATTCAAAGTCTGGGAAGCCTGGAAGGGCAGGCTCGCTAAATTCAAGAAGACGTTATACATTCCAAATGGTTTCAGAAAACAGGCGGGGCGATTTGCAGGAGGTTTTGAACATTTTAAGATTTAATTTGGGAAGTGTGGTATGTTAATGTAACTACTGTAGGCTTTTGAAGGGAGTATTAACATGATTCAAATTCATCAAGTCCAAAGCGGAATCTGAAACTCCAAGACGTCAACCCAATGGAAAAAAACCAAAGGGTGCTGCAAGCAATTAATGAAGGCAGAAGGACTAAAGACTGTGGCCTTAAAATAGAAAGGCAGGTGCTGGTCTGGGTCTCTTCTATGTTAATTGTTGAAGGAAATGGGCTTAGATCTCAGATCAAGAATTTCCGTCTCCCACTGTGTCGCTTTTTTCATTCCTTGGTTGTCCCTCTTTTCTGTCACTGCCCTTCCTGAAAATGAACTTCAGCCTTTACTATTTTAGCATCAAGGCAAAATATGTTAGTAAATACGGCATCTGGAGGTGGAATCAAATATAACTCTAAAGGGCAGCTGTTGGTACAAATAGACTCCGGATTCGAGGGTCCTGAAGGTGTTCTTACCCTCTGTACTCTAAAATAGCTTCAAAAATTCTTCTCTGTAAAAGAATTTAGAGACCAGCTAATCTAACCCACTCATTTTACAGATAAGGATATTTGGGAAAAGCTGTGTTAATGTTTCTTTTGTTCTACAAAAGTTGTTATGAATGAAATATACTTGGCAGGTGGATTTTAAATTAACTAAAGCTTTTTATTGTCAGCCTCTTCATTATGTTAGCACAATGAAGATGCATAATGAGTTTAGGCACATCAAAAGAGATCTACTGCCACGTATCCTTTTTTCGGCACTAAATACTTTGGATACATTGAAAATGTTGATTCTCTTTCTAGATGGCAGGTATTAGATCCTTATATATTTCCTAAAACCTGTACAATAACCTCGTGTTAAACAGTGCTAACAGGTATTTTTCTGTTCTGATCAAGCATGCAATCACTGATTCTGGATGAGTAACTAAATATAAATCTTACAGATTTTACAATTTACTTTTTGTGAACATAGAATGGGAGGGTGGGGTGCTAAGCTTTTGATACATGTGCATGAGACTCATTTGTGAATCAACTAAAATGCTGTTACAGTAAGGAAGTATGTTTCACACAATTTTTGTGTGACTCCTTCGGGGAGTTAACAACGCAAAGTCCTTGTACGCATGAGCAGATGAAAAGCAAACCAATGCATTGCTTTGGTGTTGCACAGATACCGCCCATGCAAAATATCTCTTTTAGATATGGGCCCCATTATCAAAATAAATTTTGAGGAATAAATAGTTAAATGGACGAACCACCATATTCTGGGTGTCCATTATGAGTCAAAAGTTTTAACAATTCAACTTTCTCTGGGGCCGCTCCTTAACTGGAACCAGTGATACCTTGTATCATCTTAGCATGAACCTCCCTTGAAATCCTTTTTGTCTCCTGAAGGTATAAGCATAAATTGGGACCCTTGCGCTGCTTTGCTCAGGGTCTCTCTCTGATCTGATGGAAACGATTCTTCAAATTTGCATCAAGAGCATCCCCACCTACTGAGTGCGTAGCAAGTGCCAAGTGCCAAGCTGACCAATGAATTCACTGTTGCTCTGCCTGGATTCTTCCTTAACAGCTAGATCTTCAGGAGTCAACTCCTTGGTGTGGCAGGGTCTCCAGTCCGGGAGACACCATATGGAGACACCAAAAGGGAAGGTGATACTAATGCACAAATGACCTGAGGCAGAGTTTCAGTTATTCATCACATGCCATGCAAAGTGGAGGAAAATGGAAAAGAGTTGTTTGTTATTGTTATGATTTTGATTGCTTTGATTAAATTAAAACTATTATCTCTGCCTAAGGCCATTTCCCTGGCATTTTATCTCATTATTCTAATAAAGGAAATGGATTTCTTATGAATAAGATTTACTGTTCTAATAGTCACCATTACTTCAAGTCGTCCAAAGTCAAGACGAAGACTAAACTGGCAAAGAGCAGCAAATATTTTATAAATAATGCAAGTATCCACAACGGCAACCCTTTGAGTGATCGTTAATTTCCTACATCTAGGTCAGACACATTCAGTTCTTGCCTGAGAACACAGAGTTCTTTTCTTTTTATATTAATTAACGAGGAATTAAAAAAAATTAAAAGCTGACTTTAAAAACATTCTGCTCAGGAGCCATTTCAAAGGATGAGAAAAGCCCAAGGGGGGAGAAAAAAATCTCAAGTAGGCAATATGTAAAGCAACACGCAACTATATGCACATTAGTATAATTACACATTGCAAATTATATCGGATGTATCTAATATCTAATTTTTTGAAAGCTGATTCCACTTGAGATTTCAATAACAGCATCAACATTTTGCAGGTGGCTCCTTCTGTATAGTATCCAAAGGGAATTATTCCCCTAATGTGCTTACCACCCTCATGTGGAAGCTGAAGCTCTTCCTTAAAGGACCAATGAACAATGAACACTGGGACTATTACCTTGATAGATAAAGCAAGGGGGGAGGGTTCCACCAAACAGAATATTCAGCATGGCTAGTCATTCTGTCCCTTCTGTGCCTACGATCCTTATTTGCTTCAAGCAATAAGAAACAAACAAGAGCCCCGTTAGAAGACATAGGGGAGGCTACATACAAATTCTGAGGCAATGATATGAAAAGTTAAGGGGTTGACGATGTTTTCGATCAACTGATAAAAGAGAAACCTGCAACAGAATGGCAGATTATACCTTTGATTGAAAACAGAGAGCCCCCACATTATATTCTGCTTTTAAAAAAACATATGATTAATTTGTCCTAAAGAGGACACGAGATCAAAGCTCCGATCTGAGGGAGAGGCTTTTGTCATCATCTTTCTGTATCAATCAATCCATCATCAAATAACCAAATATGTATTTGTGATTTTGGAGAATGGAGCGTATTATTCAAGTTGATTGGATCCATTTTCTGGATTCCTCCTTAAAGATCTTTCTGCTAATTAGTCAGGGTTACTATTGAATTATTTAATTATCTGCACTTTTGTGCAATGAAATATGTTGTCATATCACGCACTTTAGCACGCTGTTGCTGTTTGCACTTAATGATGCCTCTATAGTTAGCAGTTTCCTTTGTTCTGCTCAGTAAGTGGTTTTAGAAAGGGGGTGGGCGGGGAAGGAGGAGCCTTGGGGTTTGTAAAATAAAATCATACATTCCTGGTGCACATGCAAAACTTTATGCATTTACATGAATTTCTTTTCTGAAATCAAGTTGCAATTCCATTTGGAATAAGCTAAGAGGCACATGTCAGTGACTTCGAGTGCAGCCAGCACGGCATTACCAAGCCTTAAACATCCCTCCGGTGCACCTCCGCTGCAGTGCAATGGTAGAACGACGATTTAAATTTTTTTTTTTAATCAGCAAGGAATGTCTTTAACAAAGAAGAGGTAAATTATGATAATTACTCTGAATGGTCGGATCCTTGAGCATTACTAATTAGCATTTATTGCCTGGATTATAGAACAATACATGTGAAACCGAACTGTGATTGCTCTTTTACGTAGAAGAACTGAAAAAGGCAATGGAGCAAAAGGCAGTACCATCAGTAAGTAGTTGAGTCAGTAGTTTCAGGTCTCCTTGAGAGTGTGCAGAATTCCTTGCTTTTGAAACACACAAACCTGGTCCTTGATATTTATGGCCCACTCATTTTTTTGTGTGAGGCACAGATTTACATATGATACCATAGTCATGGAGACTAATGAGAGGAGAAACATTTTGGCTATGACGTCATATGGGGACAATTTTACCTCCTGTGAAAGTTTAACAATAAAGAGCATAAAACTAGCCGTTTCATGAAAGTATGAATTTGTATGCAAAAATTTTGACTTTAAAAGGAAACAAAGAACTCAGCTCTAGGTGGATAAAAATTTACGTTCACCTCCCCACTTTTTCTTAGGACTAGAGTTGAAAATAATTGAGAAAAGGCAGTTGGTCTCTGGTTTAAGAGCCTTTTCTCATTAGGAATGTGTAATAAAGTAGACTCTGAAATTAGAAATAGATGAGATATTAATCAACACACCAACATCACTCAGGTAAGTAAATGCCACTCATGTAATTTGGCAACTAGAATTCCTAAATAACCCGGTAGGTAGGAGAGAAAGAGGAAAAATTAACCATTCATCATTCATTCTCACTGCAGACTCACGTTTTCCTCCACACCCCATTATAGCGAAGGAAGAGAAAAAAAAACATTGTAAAATATAAAGCCAGTACTAAATACAGTCCCTCCTCTTCCCAGTACCCTGATCCTTTTTTAGTTTGAAAGAATAAGTTTGACTAAATCTGTTTGTGAGGAGATTAAACAGGCTGGTGATAAAAATTAATTCTGCTGAATGAGCAAATGCATTTGGATTGCAGAGATGCAAATAAGATAATACTTCTCTTTTCCTTTGACATACCAGGCGGATTAGTTTAGAATGTTA